CGTTGTATTATTAAAAAAATATATTGTTTTCTTTTCTGTGGTTACTATACATTTCGTTGGTTGGATGAGAAAACAGAAAACGCGAGCTGTATACACAAAGTCTGTCTACTTTTACAAAACTTGTGACATGTAACGAATACAGAAGACGATTAATTGGTAATCGGCTCCTAAAGAATGTAGACAACGCTCGTGGAGTTTGCGGTCCTTGTGTCTCGTCGACTCCTTCTCTCGTCTGGTGTCTCGCATGGGTGAGCCGCTCCAACTTTAAGTATTATTTTGGTGCGCGTAAAAACTACAGGCAGATGGGAAAATAGATTAAAATGTGTTAAGTTTTAGTCATTAACTTCAAAAGAAACTAAGGTCTCTTTGAGCCAACTCGTGAATCAGATTGAATAAAAACTTTTTCTTACTGGGTAAATAATGTGAACTTTCTCCCTCGGGGGGGGGGGTATTCCCTTATATTAGCCATATAAGTATGTTCCGCCCCAAAGGGTAGGGCTTTTGGGCCTTTTTGGTATGAAAAAGGGGATAGACTTTGCCCATTTTGGACTGGAGTCCGGGTATGGTTTTCGTGGGAACTACAGGAGCGTATGAACGTAGTTCTCTTTTCATTTCCATATGAATAAGAACATATTCGTTTCCGGTCCTTTGCAGTCCCTTGTGGTTTATGTTTGTACTTTATGAATTTTTGGGCCGTAGATCTTTTATAGATCCTATATGCTGTAATTTTGCATGGTTTTGTCCATGTTTTTTAGGTTGGTTTTGGCCAATTCTTTATTTTCTCTGCGAGACATCAAATTGACACTTGGACTCTTGCACCCCACGTGGTATGACGTGATTCTGTGGGTGTTAGGAGTTCTGAGTCAAGGCTAAAATCAGAGTGCGCGGATATTTTTTCATCAGAGCCTGACCTCTGGTAGTCTGCTACCAGCCGTTTTTAGTGTCGTCACGCAACGCTCCTCCCCACTAACAGGAGCGTTGCGTGACGACACTTAAACGGCTGTGTAGCAGACTAGATCTCTGGTTGTTACGCCATCCTGACGAGCCTCAAGGAGGGAGAAACAGCTGTCTGTGGCTACAATCCCGCTCTGTTTTGGGTTCTTTCGGTGTCGTGTTGATGTCTTGCAGAGTTAATTTTCACGTAGTACGATCCGCATTGCAGTATTCTGCTTGCAGAATTTAATATGTCTACAAGAACTAAATAGAAATATGTGAATTCGAAATGGCTTTCAAGAATTTTTTTGCTTGCGCTCTAATCTAAGTAATGATGACATAATTTCTGCCTGAATGAAGGCCTGGGGCTCGTTTCTCGAAAGTCCCGATAATTAACGGGCCCTTAAAGCTGTTTTGGTTTACGAGAGAGGTTTCAGTAGTTTTGCATCTGACGTGATGAAACTGTGAAAGGTTTGAACCCAGGAATCATTTCAAAAGTAAGTTGAGTTTGATCGTCCGGGTGAAACTATCAGTTAATGAAAAAAATGGAGTAGTTTGCTAGCCAGGAACCTAGACTTGCTACAAGTCGACATCTTGCGAGTGGAGCGAGCCTTTTTGGGACTTTTTGAAAGCCTAGCCAGGAACCGCGCTCTTATTCTTTATATTTCGTTTAGAATATTTGATTTCGGGCCCGAAAAGTCACCGGGGCTTTGGAGAAACGGGCCCCAGGTCTGAAAGCGGGTATGGATTTTAGGGTCTGGTCTGAAAACGGATCGGGAATGGCATTTTTTTGTCAGAAATAGGGTCAGGATTTGGAGAACCGGGCGGCTCACCCCCACCAAGAATTCCAAGGAGTACCCCCCCGGACTTTCTCATTCTTATATCAACTTGACGTTTCTGTTTGAAAAGTGGCACTTTTACAGTCTGATTATAAATAAATAATTGTAAATTGCTTGTTTACCGACGAAGCACATAGGATAGATAGAGTAGTAGGTAGCCTGCGTAGCAGGCGCTTGGATGTAGCGGGCCAAAGAGAGAACGGGCGCGCGCGAGGGAGACACGCAAGGGGTGGGGGACCCCACTACTTCCAAGCGCCTGCTACGCAGGCTAAGTAGTAGGTAAAATATCTATAGTTATCTAATTACGAGATTTATAGTAAAAACATACAGAAGTCAAAATGAACAAAGGCTACTGCCTGCACAGCCATCATCTAAAAGTTCACTTATATTGAGTTGGCGTACCTTGCTTTTAAACGACATTAGGGTTGTGACGTCCCTAATACTCTTGGGTAGTTTTGACCATAGCCTAGGCCCTAGATATCCAATAGAGTGCTTGCAGTAGGTGACTGTCTCATACCTAGGTATAGAGAAATCTGCTTGCCTCAGATTGTAATTACTATTTGGTTCATATGAACTCGTTTAAACGTGTTTGTGTGTTCCAGATCGAATTGGAATTTGAAAGTGTTGGTTTTTGAGGAGAGGGAAAAACTGTAGTACCCGGAGAAAACCTCTCGGAGCAAAGGAGAGAACCAACAACATACTCAACCCACATATGGCGTCAACTCCGGCAGTTGAACCTGGGCCACATTGGTGGGAGGCGAGCGCTCTCACCACTGGGCCACCCTTGCTCTCCGAAACATTTATACGATGCTACTTTCACTTTTAGACAACATTACGAGCCTCAGTGCCTTAGCATAACGTAATAGCTGTATCTATGTCAACTGTACAGCTCTCCGATTTTTCTCCCATTTTCGAAATTTTCGTTCCATGAATTTTTACTTTGGCGAGATGAGGAATAATAATTGCTGCTTCATAAATGAATGTTAAAAATAAGAGTAGATATCATTGAACAAACGTTCTTTGAAGCTAGTGGATAGCCTGCGAGCAAGCTCTCTGATCGAGCCAAGAGAATAAACTGATCGGAGAGAGGGCGTGTCAGTTGTGGAAAGAAGAGAGTTGAATTTGGCGTTATTTAGCATTGATTTCCAGTGTTTAGGCCTGAGCGCTGATTTGATTCTTTCAGAAAAGCACGTGAAGCCCACCTTATCCATAAAGCTAAGGCAATTGAGCCCCTGGGCATCAATAAACGTGATGAACTGTAACTATATATCTTTTAGTTTTTGGTTATCTTGTCTTTTTAAGTAGCCACACCGTACCACATCATATTATGTAATTTCCAGTCATTATTTTACTTCATATGATTTCTGTAAAGTCGTGATATCTCAATAAACCTGATGAAGTCTGGTATTGGCCAGTCGAAATATAGCAACTTAACTCTTTTTCACGTTGTTTGATCAGTCCCTGCAAAAGTCTTCTTGACCGTAACGTTTTCAATTTGATCTATTTTGACTGATCACGATCTTTTTGGATCCGACGTTGAGCAAGATTGATCGTACACTGTTTTTGCAGTGTTTTTTTTTACCTTAACTAAACTTTCAATTACTGTAATGGACAGCAAGTACTTTAGAAGAAAGAAAATTGGAGCATCAGAAAGATCTAGACAATTCTTAAACTTCAAAATGAATGTAAGAGATGACTACAATCGTAAGCGGGCTAATCTTCAGAATGAATAAGTTTTTAAACGAATCATAAGTATCGTTCGAGTGTGTATCCTCAAAGGCACCCAACGAACGAATCTTTCTAAACAAGTCAGAAATGTCTAAAAAGGATTATCTATGCTTTAGAAGTCTGTTTCGTTAATCTGGAGCTGCCCTTAATACTTCTCATCTGTTCGCCGGATGTTTTAGGGGAACTTTTGAAAGTTTTCAAGAGTTTTAGCTATCACGACTTCACGAAGGGTATTGCCAAAACTGGCGGAGTAACCATATTTTCATTAGATAGGTTTAGGGGACGATGTTTCTCTATACCGAAATTTTCAGGTAACCTATTTTTTAATAATAATTATTAAATCTTGGAAATAAAATGTGAAAAATTAACTTCCGAAAATCGTAGGGAAGTTAAAAGAAAAACTCCGAATAGCGTACATGAATGGGAAGGGTTATTCAGCAATTGTTAGCCTTTATTATACTTTAGAAATTGTTAAGCAGTGTTAGCTCATTCGAACAGATTTTTCACAGAAAACAGTCCCAGTTGGGTGCCCCTCCATCCTGTAATCACATAACCTTCTTCAGCCGTAAAATTTAATCTTGGTTTATAGAGGGTGTAGTGAGCTCATAATGAATCACATGACATCATGGTGGACATACTGGTGTTCCTAAACAATGAAACGGTGGCCATGTTCAACATGGAAGCCTTGAAAAAGTTATGGAAAAGTCATGGAATTTAAATAGCTCAAAAGAGCTGAGTGTGAACCCTGTATAGCTGTTCTAGCTTAGCATGGAACCAGACTCCGTATTGGGGGGAAAAGGAGCGGTAGCCTAGAGAGGGGCAACCTCGTCCCCAGGGCTTTTCCCACCCATTTTTTAAGGGAAAAGCCCTGGGGACGAGGTTGAGAGAGGGGAAAGGCTTCCCCCTTCCCAGACCACCGCTCGGATCGCGAGTTTCCTCACCCCATTTTTTGCTAGACTACGAGTAGTCCCTAGTTTTCCTCAGGGATAATAAAGCGAGCGAAACGCGAGCGCACGTGAAAACCATCCCACACGAGAAAGGCGAGACGCCCTCTCGCGTGGGGTGATTTTCACGCGCGCTCGCGTTTCGTTCGCTCCACTATCCCTGAGGAAAAATGAGGACTACTAATAGTCTAGTTTTTTTGCCTTTTTCACCCACTGCACTGCACAACGACCGGAAATGCGTCTGCGGTTCGCAGGCTATGCGCAGCCTGGTCTCAGGCTAGTTCTAGCTCAGTTTTCAGGCACTGCGTTCTAAGATCATGAAACAACTGATACAAACAAAACATAACGGTACTTAAAAACCCCGGTATCCCAGCAGGCAGGGGCTGTTAAGTTGACTATATATTTCTAGCCGAATTTTTGAAAACGTTAACGCCAGTTTGTTTTCGGCCAAAAACTATCTCCAAGGTAGCCATGATAAAAACTAAGAGTGCAACCATTGCTTTTTTTCTCTTCTCCTCCTTTCTTTCTCCTCACTCTTTCTTTTCCTCCTTTCCTTTTAATTTCCTTCGTTACTGTGATTTTGAAGTTCATCGGGCTTAACACGAAACATGCCTCTTGACGCCTTATCACTCAAATGACTGCAAATTTCGTTAGCCTGGTTTTCAAAAAAATTGGCTAGATTTACAACTAAACGAAAAAGGTTGGGTGGAGACCTTCTTGTTTTAGTCGCGTCTATTTGAACTCGCTCATGCAGGTTCAAAAAGAGAAAGGAAAGTCTTCTTCGTATTTTCACGTCCTTCATAAAATGTCGCATTAAAAAGTTTCACGTCGTAGTCGTGCAGTGAAAAGTTGGTTAAGTGGACGTCAAAGAAATGTACTAAAAATCGTGATGCACTTGGAGGGCTGTTGTTTTGTTCATGACTACCAATTGTTTTACGACGTTGTCGTTATGGTCGTCGTTGAGTGTTTGCTAAAGCTCCCTGGTAATCTGTGCTTTCACTGGTGTGACGATTCCTCTTCGTAAGTGGATATATCCCAACGGTTGTTTCTTACTGTCCACTGTCGCTTGCAGTATTTCAGGTATCCACAGCCATCACAGAAGAAGAAGATCATTAACATGACTAAAGGTCAGGAAAAAATATTGAATTGCGTGAGCAGTTATAGCCTGCGATCAATTATAAAATAACTAAGATAGTGCGCGCGTTCTGATTATTTAAAAACCTATGCTTTATTGCGCCGGTAGACTCATAGAAAGCTTAAAGTTATTTTATAAAAGCAATAGACCACACTATCTATGGGTTTACCTGCACGATAACCCACTTAGGATGTTGGGAGAACACGATGCGTATTAAATGAGCTTCTCGAGCCCCGAGGTACTTTTTTTTTTAATATTTTAATTTTTAATGATGGACTAGTGAGCAGCACACATACACTTCCAGTGAAGATTTTCACTTGGAAGAAGGAGAAACCATGCTCGCCCGGGGCGCGAAAATTTTCGTTGCCCCCGGCGAGCATGGTTTCTCCTTCTTCCAAGTGAAAATGTTCACTAGAAGTGTAAGTGTGCTGCTCACTAGTTCATCATTAAAAATTATTTTACACCTTATCCAAGTTGAGTTTTTTTAGAGAAATATCTCATGTTAAAAATACTATTTCTGAGCCTCTAGATTTCAAAATTTTCTGAGGGAGGATGACGATTTTGGTGAGCGAAAGCTAAGTTTACGTGAGGATAGAAAACTAAAACGAAATGGAAAATAAAAATCCATTTTCAAAGTCTGTCAGTATCTCATTTTTCATTTAACGAAAACGGTTTCTATCTGCAGAAAGCGCCCCAGATAGGACTGATAGGATGGCTTCTTTTTTTTCTTATAGTCTTATTTATATCATGCCAAACTTACTTGCAAAACAAAGCAGAATGAGAGTTATGCAGGTCACCGTGAAACATTTCTTCATCACTGCAATCGTAATAATCAGCACTAAAACGATTCCATGCAGGATATGAACTGTAAACACTGCCAGAAAACTCAGGAAGGATCCCAGATCACATGGATAGCGCCACTGAAAAAACATACAACCATTAGACATGTTTGATTAGGTTCGTACTGCTAAAGGTGATATTACATGAGACGATTCGCAACAACGATTTTTAGCGCAACACAGCGTTGCAGCATTGTTGCGACATTGTTTCGGATGGTTACAACATTGCTCCAGCGTTGCAACGCTGTGTTGCGCTAAAAATCGTCGTTGCGAATCGTTCCGTGTAACATCACCTTAACGCTTCTTTGGTGAAAAAAAAGTACAAAAAACTTGAAGTTAAATTTCGTCATGGCAGTCGATCGTCGTCTTCGTCCTCGACTGTAGTGCTGGAGCCCTAGAGGCGATTGAAAACTCCTCAAGGACGCAAGATCACATAGATAGCTCCACTGAAGAACACATTGGACGCTTAGCGGGTAACACAATAGAAAGGAGAAGAGTGACGTCACGTCACCATGGACTTTTTTGGTAGCACTATTTCTTGATGACAACAAAACCAGTGACAACGGCGACGGAAGGAGAACGGCAGAAAAGTAATCGGTTTTTATTGACAAAACAACAAATTTGACGTGCATCACGCTATTTTGTTCATTTCTTTGCCGTCGTTGCAGCCCTGTGACATGAAAGTTCCTAATTTCACACGCTCGCTTCATATGAGGTGAACACAACACAAAAGTTGTCTTTTTCTTTTTCAACACTTGAATACGGTCCTTTCGGATTCAACCTGAGAAAATTTCGCCAATATTTGCAAAATTAAATGAAAATGAATAGGACCTATGAAGTTTAAAACATTACATTGCTCTAGCACCTAAATCAACTTTTTACAATTTGAAACTAATCTGAAAACAACAACAACTAGCTTTATTTGCATGACCATACAAGCACATACAGTATTGCAAAAGCTATTCAGTTTAGCTGTTTAGGAATCAAAAATTACAACTCAGGGCAATTACGTTACTTTGATAATATTTTGTCACGAACATCAAAACAAACTGAAATGTATTTTGTGAACTGTATATTGATAAAGTAATTAGAAGAGTTCAGATCAGTTCATTGATCATCCCAAACCGTTCATAGGTAACTGGGTAATATTTGGAATCAGAGTCTTGACTTACATAGTAAAATTCATTCGTAATCATACAGTATGTAGGACATTGAAAAAGAAAGTGAACTTCGTCTTCCATTACATTGCATCCACAAAAAAGGCAATGCCTATTATCCTTCCTAGTTTGATTGTATCTGCCTATTTCTATCATTAGTTTGTGATTGCTCGTTCGTAGTTTTACTAAAGCCCTTCTCCCAGCTGTTCCTCTTGTTAAGTCTAAGTAACTAGAGGGGGTATGATCGGTTTTAAAAGATCTATTAAATTCAAGTTTTTGAGAATTAGACATATTAAATTCTGCAAGCAGAATCCTGCAATACGTGAAAATTAACTCTGCGAAACATCAACACGACACCGAAATAACTTAAACCAGAGCGGGATTGTAGCCATAGACAGCTGTTTCGCCCTCTTTGGGGCTCGTCAGTAAGGGTGTTTTGCCAATATGAGAGACATTCCTATTTCATTCAACTTACATAGCTTTTTACCATAGCTATATCTAATAAATCAGGGTTGAAGTCTGGAAGCTTAAAGTATTCTGACATATTCATTAAATGAGAGTGGAATTCGAAGCTCTGAGAGTGAAAAACAAATTAACCCTTTAAGCCCCAGTATCCACATACAAATTCTCCAAACTGATCTCCATACATTTCCTTAAAGAATAAGTAGAGAGAATTTGATAATAGATCAAGGCATTTTCTCTTGTGTGATCATTTTATTAATGCTTATAACTTATCTCTTGACAGTGTATGGATCGTTTGGAGAAATTTGATCTTGGTCACTATTGGGACTAAATGAGTTCTCACGATGGTAGTGATTTACCTAAACGACTTGACAGTAATTTGACTTGGTGTGTTTCAAATTGCCATACCTCTTTCAAAGGCTTACATCCCTCTTTTTTGATTTTCATTTTGTATTGGCACAGCTCACAGTGGAACCTGTACGTCATTTTGAACCATCGAAGCACGCAGCTTTTGTGGGCGTACTTTGTGGTGCCTTTGCAGCGACACACCCTAACAAGTTCTTCCACGTCCCTATTTCCATGGCAAATGCGACAAATGTCTTCTTCCTAAAGGGAAGAATAGAAAAAAATTAATGTATCGCAGAAAATACATTTCTGCTACCAAGAACTTAAAAATTCAGGGCCCTACTTGAGGTGATGTTACACGAGACAATTCGCAACGACGATTTTCAGCGCAACACAGCGTTGCAACATTGTTGCAACGTTGTTTCAAATGGTTACAACATTGTTCCAACACTGCAACGCAGTGTTGCGCTACAAATCTTCGTTGCGAATCGTCCTGTGTAACATCACCAACGTTAAGGTGATGTTACACGATACGATTCGCAACGACGATTTTTAGTGAAACACAGAGTTGCAACATTGTTACGACATTGTTTCGAATGGTCACAACATTGTTCCAACATTGCGACATTGTGTTGCGCCTTTAGCAAAGTCCTTAGCGTTTAGGGCTTTAAAGGTGATGTTACACGAGACGATTCGCAACGACGATTTTTAGCTCAACAAAGCTTTGCAACATTGTTGCAACATTGTTTCGAATAGTAACAACATTGTTCCAACACTGCAACGCTGTGTTGCGCTAAAGATCGTCGTTGAATCGGCGAATCGGCGTCGAATCGTCGAATCGGCGGTTGGGAAGTGATAAGATTTCAAGTGGCTGCATTTGCAGAGCACGACTTAAGTTAAGAGAGGTTCTCAATGGGTTTGTTGACGATTAATTTTTTCCAATTGTTGACGGTTGTATTTCAAAGCTTTTGACGATTGACGGTTATTAGTGTACATTTAGTACAAGAGTGAAAGTAAATATCAACTTCTGTAGAAATACATCTTGGACTTTTGTGTTTTGGAGGTTGTCTTGGCCTTTCACTCATAAAATTTCGAAATTTTTTCAGATATAAGTAAATTGGAGGGTCTTGTAAGACTTGTAATGCCTGACCTAGAGAGAGTGTTTTTGAGAACATGAGAACTGGTTTTCCAGATATCACTGATTCTTTGATATTGTCCAGAAGCCAGAATTCAGTGAAGATCAGCTGAAATACAGTCGACTCCCGATAACTCGAACCCTCGCTAACTCGAACCAATCTATTTCCCTGGAATTCCTTTATACCGTTTACGGTAAATTTACCCTCGGTAACTCGAACCCTCGATAACTCGTACCCTCAATAACTGGAAGAAATTTTGTTTCCTCGGCTTCAGATAATTTCTATACACTCTTACCCTCGATAACTCGAACCATGTTTGAAGCGCTTGACAAATCGAAAAAACGTAGTGAACTGGAGTCCAAAACATTAATTTCTCTGAAAACCACCGTGTATTCTTTGTCTTTAAGCTTCTTTACTTTTTTGTCAGTCCAATTCAAATACAATGTTTAGCACTGTACTGATTTAATAATCAACCTTTGTTGCTTTTTCCTTTTAAAAATATCGGTATATTCCCAACTGCGCCCTAAAGCGAATTGTGCACGATAATTATATTTGTGAAGAGAGGATTTATTGTTCAAAGGGTTTGGTTGTTTGCTTTCGCTGATGAAGATGTGAAAAGCCAATGTAGAAATCTTTTATTCTTTAGTCTTAAATTCTTTAAGCTGTAAACAATCTGTTGATAAATCGAGTAAACTCAAGTCATAATTGATTAATTAAATTTGAAATCACCGGCTAGTGAATCTGATTGTTGTTTAGTTGATTTTTCCTTTCTCATTTTTTGCTCTAAAGCATCTGTTCCAAAAGTCATTCAATGTTCAGAAATCGCATCATTTATTTTTTGCACCATTTTTCTTCTATAAAATTTCTGTTTCCGAATACAAAATGAATCTGCTTTTTGATTTACTTTTAACAAAACTTATTCGATCAATAAAATAATTGTATTTAAAGTCTTCAAAATGGAGCTGTAATCAATTTTGGTCTAAGAAAGCTTGTGATTTATCGAAGTCGCGCTGCGCGCTCGTTCGATTTTGAAATCACGCGTATGATTCAGACAAATGTTCAATTACCATTTGGATTTTCAAAACCAACCCTCTAAGAAGGTTTCCAGCAATAGCCTTTTAGAAATGATTGTCGTGCTTTGTAATTTGACTCGTTGAGTCGTGATGTAATCTGTATCGCTTCTCTAGCTTCGAGTGCTTTGTAGGAGCTTCTTCGGTTATCCTCTTTGCATCTAGTCTTGGTTACATTTTGGCTGGTTATGTTTTGACTGTACCCGCACTAAAGTCTTGGATTAAACTTATAATCATTGTCTCAAGGGTATTCAACGGGCGTAAGAGATTCCGTGTCTTCCCGCAACCAGCGAGTGTCCCCAGGAAAAGGCCTTTCTCAGAGAGTTTTAGAGTTTTTCCCCGTCAATCGATTTACCCTTTTGTGAAGGCAAAACCTGGTTCCACACTGGTGGTTAAGTGAAAAAGCTGTTTCTCAGTTTCACACATTCCTCCCCCATCTATTTCCTTACTTCTGGTTATGTTGCTTCGAACTCCCGATAACTCGAACTGTTTTCGATTTCCCTTGATGGTTCAAGTTATCGAGAGTCAACTGTAGTGAGATTTGAAGAACCTTAAAACTTTTTTACGGTTAATTTTGACCTGCGTTTGATGGTTTACGGTAAAAAAGTGACCTTTTTTGACGGTTAAATTCAAGGCCGTTTGACGGGTAACGGTTAACCTCATTCCGACCCTCTTTTAAGAGGGCTGTTTTTATGTTGTAAGAAACAATGAAATAACGTAACAAACCATGCTTCCGATACTCAGCTGTCTTAGTTCTCCTAACTCCAGAACTGTAGGATTTTCTCTTGGTTGTAGGTCAATAACAAGTGCTAGGTTTCTGTGGCAATGAGCTCTTGGTTCTTCATTTGCTGTCTCATTGCTGCTATTTCCAGTGATGCCAACAGCAGCTCCAGTTATCTCGTGCCTTGATTCTGCAACTGCAGGTTGCGGGTGAATCTGTGTATTGAAAAGGAAAGTGACCAATCTAGTAAGGCAAAACACTGAAAACCGAGGATTTCACCATTGGGACCGGGTTATAGTGGTATCTGCCTCTTAGAGAGCCTGCGGAAAACTGGCAGTTGGGAAAAGGAACTTGGCCTCGACTGCGATTCGTGCAACGAGAGCGTTGGACATTGAGCTACAGATCCCTGAGAGTGACCTTGCAGCTGATCGTACAAGGTGGAGAAGTACACTGAAGTAACACCTCAATGCAGGGGAGGAGACGTTGATGAACGCGGCGGCAGACAAACGGGCACAGGAACGATCGCAATTTCTCCATCGGATTAGAGATCACCCCCATCTGTGACTTGCCGCAGTGACTGTCACTGCGGTATTGTTCCCAGCTACTGCCACAAATGACGCTGCTCTAGCCGAGCAGACAGCCAGAATTACTAGGATGCCTGGAAAAATATATTGCATATTGGCAACATACAATCCATCATTCTAAGAAACTACAATTTTACAGCTTATTTAAACATGATTATTAAATTTCAAGTTATCTAGACTTAATTAGAAATTCTGCTAATAGGAAAGATTTAGTGAAAATTCGTATCAGTAACCACAAACTCATGGTTGAAACTGGAAGATATAATCAAACTTCCCGCAACGATAGATTCTGCCCTATTTGTAACTCTGGTATAATTGAAGACGAATTTCATTTTCTCTTCCATTGTCCAAAATACTCAATCCCGAGGGAGAAATTCTACAATCAAATCCAACAAAATTTTGTCGACTTTAATCAGCTATCTTACACAGAATTAATAATTAAATTGATGAATTCACAGAATTTTTTCGTAAATTCACATTTGTTGAAATTTGTCTCATTATGTAATGATTTATGTAATAATTTGTTATCAAATCATGCTGATGACACTTGATTGACTATAGTAATCATTGCAGTGCATTATCATTGTTATGATTTGTTTGTTTGTTTGTTTGTTTTTTTTTTTATGTTAAAGCTTTTGCAATACTGTAACTACATAATTATAGTCATGCAAATAAAGCTTATGTTGTTGTTGTTGTTGTTGCCTGGAATGAAAAGTTGGCTCCAAGGGTAGTTTGAGCAGGCGAGTGACCCTTCGACCCAGAAAACTAGTTTCTACATATAAACGGGTCCTAACTGGCATGGACAATCTTTTATGCCTTATGATGATGTGGAATTATAACGACCCAGCGTGAAGTGAAACGTCCAAAACAAAGAAAAATTAGGTCCTGAAAATTCCAAATTTAAGGATAAAACAAAGTTCCTATTGCAAGCGAAGTAGTAGTAGTTCCTTTCGGGCATCATGCGTAGACCGTATAAAAAACAATGACGATAAATCAATATTAAATATACAGTCCATACAAAAGAACATGGTCCATATTCATTTTTTAGCGGGTGTCAGTAAAACGCGTGGTCGGGTTCCGGGCCGGGGCCGGGTCTGGGCTCTATCTTTTTAAAAAAATACTGCTTTAGGGTTAGGGGTAGGGTTAGGGTTATAGTTGACACTAACCCTAACCCTAACCCTAAAACAGCATTCTTTTTGAAAAAAAAAAAAAAAAAAAGACCCCGACCCCCGCCTAGGCCCCGGCCCCGGCCCCGGCCCCGGCCCCGGCCCCGGCCTCAGCCCCGGCCCCGGCCCCGGCCCCAGCCCCGGCCCCGATCCCGACAAAGCCCCCGACTCCTCGTTTTAGTAACATCCGCTTTTTTTATCTGGTCAGACCATACCAGCTGCAAATAAATTGCTAATCAAAATAATATTAACTTCAAGTTGAATTAAGATTAGCATGTAATATTCTAAGAAGCACGGGTTTTAGGTCCGATCACCAGCCTATTGTGAATTTCTTCATATTCGCTTCTTTTGCGTGGTAAATGTTGCTATAAGTTGTGGTTTCGATTGTTGTCAAATCTTATTTTGTACGGTGGTCGTATAAAACGGTTTTAAAATTAGTATAATAATGAGCTCGTTAGATCGCAAATTTGGCTTTTCATACTATTTATTGGGCGAATTATTGCTTTTAAAAACCATTGATCGATAATTTAACCTGAATTGACTACATTTTTGACCAGACAAAACACAAAACTTTTAACGTAAAGGTACACAGATAGTGATTTTTTTATTTTACCTATGTTTGCATATTAACTGCAAACAAGGAAAAAAAATCGTCTGTTGCTATCAGGTATTTAGGTATTTAGGTATTTTTATTTATTTGCCACACAATTACAATAATTACTTAAAGATGCCAAAAGAAAAAAGATATATATATAGGAAGAGATGGCGAGGAGGCCTAAAAGAAACTATAAAGCTTATGTTAATTAGGCCTCCTCAATTACAATTTTTCAAAGATGGCATAAAAATTACGGCGACGGGTACAATATAATATCAGGTAAAAAATTAAACTAATCAATGTTACGGAAGTTTACATGTACAAATGTTGAATATTAAAAGGCTTTTTCCCAAGATTTTTGTTGAAGTATACTAATAATTATTACAAATAAATGCCTTAAGTGCTCTTTTAAAGGAGAAAGGTGAGGAAGCGTTGATGATGTTGGTGTTTAAGGTGTTGTAAAATTTAGGTCCTTGATAAAAAACGGAAAATTGCTTGGTTCGAGTACGACAGAAAGGCAGACGAAATTTACACGAGTTTCTTGTATTATACGAATGGATTTGATTTTGTAACGTAAATTTACAATGAAATTTTAAAGGCAGAGTATGGTTTTGATAAGAGTACATGAATAAGCCTAGTTATAGTATTAAATATATATCATGAAATCTTAAAATACTAAGATTTTGAATATTGGGTCAGTATGTGCATCGAAAGGAGTTTTAGCTAAGTCCTGATCACTTGCTTCTGTAGAATTTCAAGAAGAATAAGGTTAGTTTTGTAAGCAGAGGCCTAAACTAAGTTGCAGTAAAAAAAAGTATGGATAGACTAATATAGTGTTCGTAAGGTTTTCGTGGATAAATAGAAACTGGATTTACGAATAATTCCTGTGCATTTAGAAACTTTATTGGCGACATGTGAGATTTCAGATTTCCAATTTAAATTTTCATCCATGATTACTCCCAGGAAAACTGTTTCTTTTACTTGATCAATTTTTGACTATTAATTAAAAGTTGAATAGTTTGATTTGTACGCTTTTGGGATGGTTTAAATGCAATGAATTTGGTTTTTTTTTCAAGTTTAATGAAAGCCTGTTAGCTCTAAACCATATTGACAACTTATTTAGTTCAGCATTCAGTATATTAGTGAGGCAGTCTTTATCCTTGTGAGACACAAATACGTTTGTATCATCGGCAAATAATATCAGTTGTAATATTGTTGACGTGTTGATTATATCGTTGATGTAGAGTAGAAAAACAAAGGCCCTAGTATTGAACCTTGGGGAACGCCACACATGATATTAGCACGATACGAAACATAACCATTGTATTCTACAAATTGAAGTCTGTTGGAAAAATAGTTCTTAATCCATTTCAGAGCCAAGCCACGTATACCATAGTGTTCAAGTTTATCAAATAAGATGGAATGATTGACTGTATCGAAAGCTTTCGAGAGATCTAAAAAGACACCAACCGCTAATTCACCACGATCAATAGCAGATGAAATTTTTTCATGCAAATCAATCAAGGCAAGCGTCGTAGAGTGGTTTTTCCTGAAGCCGAACTGGTTATCACAGAAAATGAGTTCGCTCTGAGTGTCCACAATGCGTTTTTGTTTCCAGACGCAGATGGTCCCTCTATGTTTCCGGCATCTGTCTTGGTCGGAGTTAAAATTTCAATTTTTTTTTCGTGGTCATTTCGTCGTACAAATATTTTTTCTTAATCTTAAAGCTACTCGTGACACTGTTAAAACTCTTGCCAGTTACCCGAAACAAAAACACACTACCAAATGGAATTTTGTGTTAACTGAGTTGTTTGTAAGATAACTAATTATCTAATGAACTGAGGACATTGATTTAGTACCTGAACCATATCTTTCCTAGGTCGCCGTTCACTTCAGCTTCAGCGATCTCCGCCTTAAAATGTTAACTGGTACAGATAGATCTAATTTTCTAATTTCTTCTTTGAATCTCAGTGGAATACAAAAGTCTCTTTTGCGCTCCAAACTGCTCTCCTTCTGGAAAACGACTTACGTGCTAAAATAAACTGGACCGAAGGGGCACTGGTTTTGTTTTCATTCCGGTTTTAAATTCGCTTCGGTTTGTAGACCCAATCAAAACCCTTGATGTCCTCAATTGTTAAAGATCATTACAAAAGAAAGTCTTTTTTGTCATAATTATAGAACGGTTTCCACAAATTGCCACTTGCCGCTACAGCTTTGGTATTGTTTCACTATGCTTTGTGATTGGCCAATTAATCTACCAATCAGAAGTAAAACTTCAAACAAAAGCAATTGTGAGTTGCTTGTAGGCGTTTTCCCGCGCCAGGCGTCGGAGACATGCATTTGCTCTGAGTTCTGATTGATTGATGGGATTCCAGCTTTGTCCATGATTAAATAGAATAATCACTCTGGATTTTGATATACAGTCGACTCCCGATAACTCGAACCCTCGCTAACTCGAACCAAAATCGATTTCCCCTGGATTTCCATCATACCATCACTGTAATTTTACCCTCGGTAACTCGAACCCTCGATAACTCGAACTCCCGCTAACTCGAACCAATTTTGGTTTCCCCTCGGGTCATTTTCTATATAATTTTACCCTCGATAATTCGAACCATGTTTTGAGCCCTTAAAAAGTCGGGAAAAAATCCGTCTACGGGCGTGCGTCCGAAACATTGAATTTGGGGATTTCCCATTGACGTGTTGTAGGAGTATAGTTTACTAGTGGAGGCTGATACGATGTTGATTGTCACAGGCTAACGTGAAGCAGCTTTTCTTCTCAAAACAGTAAAACGCATGCTCTATTTAGGCTATGTTTTGTTACGTTACGTTCTGATTTATAATCTAGAAGTATCTTTTAATTTTCACTTGACATTTCTACAATTTTAAAAATGTGATAAAAATGTTCACTGTGCAGTAAAAACTGTTTGTTGCCTTACTCTCGGCTATTTTCTTTGAACTTCCGATAACTCGAACTCCCGTTAACTCGAACCTTTTTTCGATTTCCCTTGAAGGTTCGAGTTATCGGGAGCCGACTGTAAAGCGTTTTCACGTGTCGTCACGTCCGCTATTGGCTCTTGTGGTGTACCAAAACAATAAAACGGCGGCAATTTGGGTACCCTGGCTGCCAAAGGTTTCTTTCCTAATTCCCAATAGTTTGCGGCCAAGCCGCGACAACTAGGCGCGAGGCGCCAAGACAGCTTTATCAGCGTCATTTATCAGCCTCTCGGGAGCTTTATCAAACCATGTACACGGTTATTTCATCTTAGGCATTTCGAGAAAGGACCTCTGGAGCCAGAGTCCCATGTTGGTGCTCAAATCCAATCCCGTAAGAGTTGAAACTTTTCAGGGCTGTTAACCCCCCAAGTGTTCATATATTGAGAATTGATAGGGAAGGCATGTTAGATGACGTCATAACGCACGGCACATGACACCATTGTCCGATTGTCATGAATATTTGCGACGACGCAAAACGCGCGAAAAAGAAAAAAAGAGACTCGCTATTTTGCAAAATGTTTTCGCCATTAATCTACTTTGAGCAAGAAAAAACCATAGAAAAGGTTTCGAAGAAACTGTATACAAGTAAGTTAAAGGAAGAAAAGAAGAAGCAGAGACGATTGCGTTTGGGACTGAAAAGCACAAATCTTCAAGTCGTGCGGTACGAGGCAGGTATGTGTATCGGTCTTTTTTGTTTTCTGATCATTGTGTAAAACGTAATTTATTAACAATATTTGTAATATTTTAGACATTTCTTGTATAGCACCATTGGGCATCGCTGGAAATGGCGCTATATAAATAAAGCATTATTATTATTATTATTGTTATTATTAATATTAATATTAGTTTGTATTTGGAAAACCATTTGCGCTATCTGGTTGGTAGCGCTATCCGCTATCCGGAACAACTGGCGCGTGAACGGTAACCAACGGTTTCAAAAACGTAAAACTACTACGCTTGTATGCTCATCAGCATGGCATGACCTTGAGACACCTTCACAACTAAGGCCGTGTTCAGAGTCCCGTTACTGTCTGCCGAGGAGAGTGTAAAACACTCCCCTGAACTGGAATATGACGGCTGTGCCATGCTGACGACTCCCTAATGAACTAACAGCTATGTATCAGCTGCCGTGCCACTGCCAGGGTGATATGATAGCTGTACGCATGCGTAAGGTACTGGCCATGCGGGTAGGTGTCTGTGTGTGTCACTAATTATAAGGTTCATTGTTCCTCAGGGTGTGTTTTCTCAGTAATTTTCGACAAAAGAGTTAGAAAGTAAAGACGCATTAAGAAAACTCAGCCTTGTTCTGATGTCAACAAAAGGCGCTGAAAAGCAAATCACGTGTCATGCCTCCCCGGATAAACTGATCACTTGGCAACCCTTCTGAATTTTCTTGAAATACCATGAAATATTTCTATGCCAAATTTAGGGCTTTCCCCTGGTTTGTAACGTTTCCCTTTGAGCAAATACGCTAATGAGATTAAGGGTAAATTGAGTGAAGCTTGACAACTACTGTAATCATAAAAAAACACGGCCAGACTAGTATGTAAAACACATCATAGCATCACAGCAAGGTAGTTGTCCACAGTCAGGGGCACCCAACCAGAATATAGTTCAAGACCACTTAACCACACTTAAACATAGCATTGTTAAACGTATTTTACTTTTTAAACGGTACATATAGGCATATTTTAATCCCCTACAAATTTTCCATCTGTTCGGATTTCCTAGCTGAAAGTCCGCTAGTGATCCGAAAATTATAGGGATCAAAACTTACCTTTTCGAAAATTTCAGCCAGAAAAAAAGCTCCCGAAAATTCTAGGTGACCTTTTTAGGGTAAAAATTCGTTAAAAATGGTAAATTATACCATTTTTTAGATGTTCGAAAATTTTGGGAGAGGCAGGTAAGCAAGAAATTTTTACAAAAAATGTTCCGAAAATTCTAGATCTCAAATCGTCTTCCGAACGGATATTTTCCGAAAATTGACGTTGGGTGCCCCCGCACAGTTTTGGGGACATTATTCATATTCTCGCACCCACTTCTACCAACCCTGATCGAATAGAAGAAAAAATAGGCAATTTTGATCAGTTAAGGCTGCCAATTCTTTCAAAATCGAAACCAGTGCAAAAGCATGGGAATTGCAAGTTGGTATCTTAGACATTTTTTAATTAAATGAGACGCTACCTTATCCGGGGGCAGAGATCAAAATGGAAATCGCTTAATAGTAATTAAGAAATTGAACTATTTATGCCGAGGGTTCAGGAAGGTTAAACTCATTGCTGTTTGGAAACTACAGTCTCTTGTCCTAAGATTTTCAGACATGTTCTTTCTTTGACAGGAACAATTAATTCTCTGCCCTTTATAATCGTTTCTTTTTTTTGTACAATAAAAGATACATATTTATATAGTCTATTGGCTCACTTATGGGACTGTATTGTTAATTTTTGAGAATCGCGAGGAATTCAAGAGTCCGATGTCAATAAATCATTGTTTGGTCCATAAAGCATGTAATAGTGTCCGTGGAGAGGGTTAATGAAAGACCAGCATTTGGCCTTTCCTGAACTGCCCCAAATAGGATTTCCTCTGATATCTTTAAGCCCAGATTTTTGTGTACGACCACGAAAGGATGTCAGTGACCGGCTTCTCCTTTATTCTTTATTTTTCTTCTTTAAACAGTGTCTAGTGTTGTCATAAGAAAAACCAAGGATAGTAGGATTGACAACTAGGCTGTCCACCCTTACTCTTTGACTTCATCTCGACGAAATGTACCCAGAAACTATGTCTGCGGCTGCGTAAAAGGTGCTCGAATTTCACCTCAGTCTCTCACTAATTTCGGTTCCACAAAGACCTATTGATTTTACCCGTTGCCTCGCTGTCGAATTTTTCTCGGCATGGCTGGCCTTTAAGTGATCTACAAGGCCTTCAGGAGGGATTTGGCTGGACTTAACCAAGAATTGCTTGCACGAAAATGGAAACAATTGGGATTTGGAGCTTGGTCGTTGTTCTAGTCGCGCTGGGAATTAGCCCAACATCAGCCCGTAAGTACAATGTTTATCAAGCAAAAGTTGCGTGATTACTTGTTGGCTTTCGTGCAAACCAGTTTTTGAGACTTACACGAATGGCCTTCCTCTAAGGTATAGCTTCTTTAAAAAAGACTTATTTATTGAAAATTCAAAATCTCTTACTTGGGATTTCCCTCATTCAAGGCGAGTTAACATATCTTTTTTTCACCGTTACTTTTATTAAAATTACATCTCTTAAATTGACGCTACAGTAGATGATCCTCACGATATACTTCGAATTACGATCCATGCAACTCCTTGTTCTTGAGATTTTTTCCCCGCAGTTTCATATCATTGCCCTGCCAGTTTTGTTCGTATAGTTTACCTTTGTAATGATTCTTATTTACCACTAATATTCGCAGCAATGTTAGTGGCCTCCACTTGCCTGACGGATGTTGCATTCTTAGAATTCTAAATTATGCTCTACGTTTCTTACTAAAATCAATCAACTCCTTCATTTGTTTTGTCAGTTGTATATAGATCAGACTGTGGTAGCGTTTTTTGTATTTAGCAAGGGAAATACTACGCGATGGCGTGCTTTTCACGCTAACTTCATCTCATGGCACTTTGTTGACTTAGACTACTAGATGGGCTCCTGACTGCTATCAGCAGGTCACGACATCCAATCAACAGAACGTCACGACATTAGCGTCGTAGCCACGACACGCGAGCCTGCAGATAATTCATGCAAAAAATCTAACATTGCTTCGGAAAAAAATGCAAATCGATGTTCCGGCAATATATGTAATGGAATTTACGGTTAGAAAACACTTGGGTTTAAAAAATGGCCGAACACGGCTTTCCCCGCGGCGGGTGTTTAATTAACGCGCTTTTCGGGATCTAATGGAATTTTGCACTGTTGAAAGATTGATTATTTTGAAAGGCACTTTAGGAGACAGAGACGTCAGGGACATATTGATATGTCCCGGATATGTCGAAGTAAAATTCTGTCCAGTTTGTAAAAAAACTGAGAAAATTGGTCATTTAGCTACCTTTAAGTGAAAAAGCAAAAGTATTAGTACAGCAATTTAAAAGCGTATGCAACGTTAAAGGCATTTTAGAACTGTTTTTTTTTCAAGGTGACAATGAACATGTTTAAGCACTGCATGATATACATGGACATCCCCCGCTAATCTTGGACGTCATCGGGACCAGTTAATTTTTTTCCCGTATGTGTTGCGTGAAACTCGTTTCAACCCTCTTGGGATTAGCCGGGAAAAAAAAAAGGGGAGAGGGGAGGGGGCAGGGAGTAACTGTCATTCATATATATGGGCTATTTAAACACTCGAAAAAATTCGCAAACCCTCGCGAAACTTGGAGACTACAAGGAGGACGGAAGTTAACCCCTGTTGTGGGAGAGGAGTGGGTGGGTTCCCGAACGGGAAGATGACCTACTGCAGCGACAAATATAAAAACTCTTTAACTTAGGAAAAAGAAAAACACATGGAGCTGAAGCTGTGAGTACGGAACAGTTTTATAAATACTTAAAGCAATAGAATGCGACCCCTCTCAATAATATACTAGATCCGGAGACGAATATGGAAACCGAATGTAACGAAAAAATGGAAGGCCGCGCTTGATTATCTCATAACTGATGAAGAGTTTGAAGCCGCAATTAACAAACTGAAGGCAAACAAATCTCCGGGTATCGATAATATATTAAATGAAGTAATTAAAAATTGGAAAGGACGCCATTGAAGAGCATTTAGTAAATTTATTTAGTCGAATCTTAGATACTGGCAAATACCCTACTCTTTGTAGTTTTGGCCTCATTGTACCTCTTCATAAGAAGGATCGATCCAAAGTCGAAAATTACTGAGACATCACTTTGCTCTCTGCGCTAGGCAAGCTCTTTACATCATCCTCAACAATCGACTGTCAATAGCGGACGTGACGTCACGTGAAAACGCTTTACAGTCGACTTCCGATAACTCGAACCTTCAAGGGAAATCGAAAAAAGTTCGAGTTATCGGGATCTCGAAGAAAATAGCCGAGAGTAAGGTAAAAAACAGTTTTTACTACACAGTGAACATTTTAATCTCATTTAATTGTAGAAATGTCAAGTGAAAATTAGAAGATACTTCTAGATTATAATCAGAACGTAACGTAACTGACATTGCCTAAATAGGGCATGCGTTTTACTGTTTTGAGAAGTAAAGCTGCTTCACGTTAGCCTGTGGCAATCAACATCAGCCTCCATTAGTAAACTATACTCCTACAACACGTTAATAGGAAATCCAAAATTCAGTGTTTCGGACGCCAGTAGACGGTTTTTTTCCCGACTTTTTATCGAGGGTAAAATTATATAGAAAATGACCTGAGGGGGAACGAAAGTTGGTTCGAGTTGGCGGGAGTTCGAGTTATCGAGGGTTCGAGTTACCGAGGGTAAAATTACAGTAAATGTATGACGGAAATCCAGGGGAAATCGATTTTGGTTCGAGTTAACGCGAGGTTCGAGTTAGCGAGGGTTCAAGTTATCGGGAGTCAACTGTACATGGTTCAAAGAGGAATTTTGAAACTGAGTGAACAAGGTGGCTTCCGAAAAATGCATGGCACATTTGATAGCATCTTCACATTAATAGTTCAAAACCACTTAAACATAGCATTGTTAAACGCATTTTAGTATTTAAACGGTAGATATAGGCATATTTTTATCGCCTAAAAATTTTTCATCTGTTCGGATTTCCTAGCTGAAAGTCTAGTGATACGAAAATTATAGGGACCAAAACTTACCTTTTCGAAAATTTCAGCCAGAATAAAGGCTTCCGAAAATTCTAGGTGACCTTTTTAGGGTAAAAACCCGTTAAAAAAGGGCAATTGTACCATTTTTTAGATGTTCGAAAATTCTATGAGAGGCAAGCAAGCAAGAAATTTTACAACAAAGGTTCCGAAAATTCTAGATCTCAAATCGTCTTCCAAACAGATATTCGTTGGGTGCCCCTGGCTTATTGACAAGTTCGTGAAATCTAAACCACAGAAGCACCGAAATTTACTCTTTTCATGCTTCGTCGACTTTAGAAAAGCCTTCGACTGTATACCCTGACAAAAACTATTCGACAAACTGAGAAAAGAAGGTGTCCAAGGACGTTTCTTAGAAGTTTTAATATCCATTTACTCAAATGATAAATCGGCTGTTAAAATTGATAACAAACTAACCCAATCCTTTACTTGTCATGCCGGGGTAAAGCAAGGTTGCATGTTGTCACCTACTCCTTTTAATTTCTATCCAAGTGATCAACCAAAATTCCTAAATTCAGCGAGTTCAACGGACATTTATGCTAAGTGATAAATCTATAAATTGTATCTTATATGCGGACGATCTAGTGATCTTCTCTGGATCGGCAAAAAGCCTTCAAATAATCCCTAACGAACTGGAATCGTTCTGTAAAAATACCGATTTAAGTGTAAAGTTTAGACAAGACAAAAATTATGATTTTTAATAAAGGCCAGTCTTTAAACAAGGGCTCGTTCAGATACGGCGCTGATGAACTGGGAAACGTCAAATCCTACAAATATCTTGGACTGGAAGGTTTCCAATGAGAATTGAAGCCCAATGTAGGAACTTTAGGTTCTGGTTCACCTTAACCAAAAATGAAAACAAATGATCGCAAATAGCATACGATGACATAAACGGGAATGAAAATAAAGCTTTCTGGAGCAAAAAAAAAACAAAAACAAAAGACAGATAGGGTTAGGAGAATTCTGGATGAAAGCAGTGCGCCTTTTCTCTTAAAATCGGTCTAGTTCTTATCTCATCCAGCGCGATTGCAAACCACGACGTTATTATTACTAAAGGGAATGAGACCAGACGAGAAAATACGGTCTCTATTTTTTCTTCTCGGGCTTACGCCCTCGTTTGTCGCGGCTCGCGACTTTGCCGCTCGCGTGCTTAGGTTTCGCGTGCAGTAACTTTGCAAAAAAAAAAAAATAATAAGAGACTGCTCGCAGTCCAACTTAGGAATCGTAAACGTGATCAAGCAAGTTGCTGACTGCAGACTGCGGACTGTAGACCGTAGAATGTAGACTGTGGACTGTAAATTGTTAGATGCAAAACGTATTTAGAATGATTAGCTTAGCGAAGCGCTTTTTCTATACCGGTTATATAAGATATAGAGCTCCTACGTTAATAAGCCCTCCTAAATCCCCATACGAAGATATATAAGCCTAAGGCTTATAATGGGAAGTTTAGAGGTTAGGCCATCTGTAAAAATAACTTTCTTCTTCTTCTTCTTCTGCTCCTTCGTCTGCTTCTGCTTCTCCTTCCTCTTCTTCTTATAATCTTAACTATTGCACTCTGATCTTTTATTTTAACAGAGGATCCCAATTGCATCATCGATGTGGGTTTTGTAGTGGACGCTTCCGGTAGCGTCAGAGACGACTGGAACGTTCTGCTAAAATTCGTTACTGATGTTGCACAGAAAATCAACATGCGGCCAGGAGGAAGCCATATTGGGGTCGTTTATTTTGGCGATAATTCTGCGAAGGTGTTTGATTTTAACATTTTTGATCAAACACCTTACAACGAGAACGATATTTTAGAACGGATCAGAGCCATCCCTAGACCAGGATCCGGTGAACGCACGTTCATTAACAGAGGTCTTCGACGCGCTAATCGAGAACTCTTCAGGACCCAGTTTGGAATGCGGCCGGATGTTAGACAGGTACTTTGCCAATAGAGAAGAGAAGTGTGACGTCACCAAAAGTCAAATTTTCGAATGCGGAATTGGCTTGCATTTTCATAAAGAACGAGATGAAAAATACCCCTTGGCCAAAAATCAGCATGTTAGTGCAAATTGGCCTGTACGGGAGATGTCACAGGTGATATCTTTGTACCTGAGCCTGAAGTAGAGGTGGGCCAAGCATAATGGTGGGCAGTGAGTGGTAGTGGAAAGGGGGTGCAAAGCCTGATGAGCTTGTAATATTGAGAAATCAAAATCAAACACTTTTAACCTGAATACGAATATCAGCAGCTTTCTTTATCAGTGTTATTGTTTATCCTCCCACTTTACGATTCGTTCAGCTATTTCATTTTTCCTCAAAAATGCAAGAGCGCACTGTACTTTTTACATTTGCTTGGCTAAACCTCTAAGTAAAGTACATGTAACTAATAACAGTTCAAACGCTGACTATGATCCTCGGGATATTCCTTTGCACTCTAGGATGGTCAATAAATTTGGCGAAAAATTGGGATACAGAAAAAAGTTATCTGAAAAGTTTAAGCGTCGAGTATCACTTTAAACACTTGTTGCGTGACACTAGGCTAACACGCAGCTGAACACGACTCACC